AGGCCCCAGCAGAGAGTGCATTGGCTGTTGAATAAATGATGTAACCAATTAGCTACCACTCACACAACAGCCATGAGAAAATCTTAAGAGTTTTACCTCGTTTGTCCTGCATGTTTTGAACTTTGCTGCTGTTTTGGGACTTTGTAGGTGCTTCTACACTTACTTTTTCTTTTTTCTTTTGGTACAGGGGATCGAACTTGGGACCTTGCACTTGTGAAGCAGGCAATGGAACCACTAGGCTAAATCCCTCCTCCCCTTTTTATTATTAATAATAATTTTAATTAATTGGGGGGGTACCAGGGATCAAACTTGGAACCTTGCACTTGGGAGGCAGGCAGCAGCAGCAGCAGCACTGAGCTAAATCCACAGCCTGCTTCTACACTTCCTTACTGAGACAACACTGAAGTAGAGCAAATTTTCTTTTTTAGTCTTTATTACTAACTGTAAATGCCCTATTAAAATACCAAGAAAAATTCCATCTTAATAACAAAATCTTTCACCTTAAAAAAATTAGAACAAGAGCAAACTGAGCTGAAGGAAGGAAATAATGCACATTAAAGCAGAAATAAATGAAAAAAAGCAAAGAAATCAAAACCAAATTTCAAGCCTTGAAAACAGCAGCAAGATGAACAAATCTTTGGCTCGCCTGGGCAAGACTCAAATCACAGAGATCAGAAATGAAAGAGGGACACTACTGCCACCCAGAGGCCAGATGCTAACATTGCGAGGGCTTCACCCCAACAAGGGACCAGCCACTCTCCTTTTTTGTCTTTGATAGAATTCACTTTTTCCAAGATCAGAAGAGAAGGGGACATTTTCCATCTCATCCCGTGAGACTTGATCCAAGGACAATTCCATTTATGATGACATCCAAAAAGTAAAATATGTGAAAGTGAATTTTTTAAAAAGGAAGACTTATACACTAAAAACGACAAAAGTTTATTACTAAAAGTTTATAAACTGGAAAACATTCCACGTTCATCTATGTTCAAAATTTTAATATTGCTCAGATGCGGATATTAACCAAGTTGAGCTTAAGACTGAATGTAATGCCTACTAAAATCCCAGCTGATATGTTTTGAAAAATTGACAAGCTGATTCTACAATCTGTATGGAACTCCAAAGGACCCAGAGCAGTCAAAATGATGTTCAAAGAGAACAACATTGGAGGACGCACCACTTCCTAATTTTTTTTTTTTTTTTGGTACTGGGGATCGAACTCGGGTGCACACTTCCTAATTTCAACCCGTAACCCAAAGCTGTAGTAACCCAGACATTGTACTGCTGGCATAAGTAAAAGCAGGTATCAGTAGGATAGATTCAGAATCCAGAAGTAAGCCCTTACAGTTATGGTCGACTGACTTCCAACAAGGGAGCCAAGGTACCCGAATGGGGGAAAAATGACCTTTTTCATGACTGATACTTGGAATAAGGGAATAGCTGAATGCAAAAGAATGAAGTTGGACCCCTACCTCACACACACCATATACAGAAGTAAAAATGGACCAAAACCCTAAATGTGAGAGCTAAAACTACGAAACTCTTGGTAGAAAAATATAGATGTAAATCTTTGTGACCACAGAGTAACCAATGGTTTCTTATCTATATTAAAGTCACAACCAACCAGATAAAAAATAAATTGGACAGTGCTGAAATTTTTTAAAAATTATGCTTCAAGACACCATCAAGAAAAAAGAAAACCATAAAATGAATAAAATGCTTGCACATCATATATCTGCCACTGATTTTAAACCCACAATACAGAACTCTTGTAAATAATTCAATTTAAAAATGGGCAAATAGACTTTTTTCATAAGACATGCAAATACCAAGTGTATGAAAAGATACTTAATATACTATTAGAGAAATGCAAATAAAACCTAAAATCAGATACCATTTCTCACTTAACCTTATGAAAAAGACAGACAATAACAAATACTAGTAAGGATGTGGAGGAATTGAGACCATACACTGCAGTGGGAAGGAAAATAGGCAGCAGCTTTGAAAACACTTCCACAGTTCCTCGGAGCTAAACAGGCAGCTATCATACGACCCAGTATTTCAACTTGCAAGAGAACCGAGATCAAATGTCTACTCATCAGTCCGTATAGGAATGTCCACAGCAGCATGCTCACAACTGCCCCAAAGTGCAAACAATCTAATACGCATAATTTGATCAATTGAAAAAAGTTGTTTCAATGTGTACATAGTGAAATATTCATCAATCATATAAAGGAATATTACAATGGTACATGCTAGCACATGAATGAACCCTGAAAACATTATCTAAGTGAAAGAGACATACACACGATCACATATATATATGCTACATGTCCAGAATAGGCAAAATTCTAAGGACAGAAAATAGGGTTAGTGGCTACCCCTGGCTGGGCATGTGGAGGTGCAGTGGTGTTGGATACGAGGTTTCCTTTTGGGGAGATGGAAATGTTCTAACAGTAGGCAGCGATAGGGCTGGGAATGTAGCCCAGTTCTGGAGTTCAATCTCCAGCACTGTGAACAAACAAACCCAAACAGTAGTGCTGAAGACTGCACAACTCTATAAATAAAGTAAAAAACAAGGATATGTACACTTTAAGTGGTGACTTTTTTGGTGTATGAGTTAAATCTCAATACAACCAACTTTTTTAAAAGGAGATTTCATGTTCATGAGGAAGACTATTATGAAAATTTCAGTTCTTCCCAAGTTGATCTATGGAGTCAGTGCAATCCCAATCCAAATCCCCGAAGTTATTCTGTAACTATCAAGAGACTAGTTCTAAAGCTCATGCAAACGGAAAAAGACTCAGAAAAACCAACAAAAGATAGGAGAAGAATAAAGTTGAGGACTGGCACTACCTGACTTGGAAAATCCTATTCTCCAGACAGTGCAGTACTGGTGAGCAGACAAATCAACGTCAGAGAACAAAGGACCAGAAACAGACCCACACAATCAGTTAAAAGACCTTCAACACAGGAGCAAAGGCACAAACGGAGCCAGGATAGCCTATCAGACAAATGTTTCCAGAACAACTGCACATCTGCGTGCAAAAATAAAAGAAAAATCCAAGACACAAGCCTTAGAAAAAATAGACTTTCACAAAAATGAACTTGTAGTGGATAATACTTACATGTAAAACACAAATGTATAGAACTCCTAGAAAATAACAGAAGAAAATTTAAGTGCCCTGGGTCTGAGGAAAACTTCTTACATACTAAAGCACAAGCCATAAAAGAAACACCTGATAAGATGGAATTCCTTAAATTAAAAATGTCTGCTTTGAGAAAGACATTGTCAAGAAAATGAAGAGACAACCACAAATTTAGACAAAGTATTTGCAAAAGACATAATTGATAAAGGACTGATACTCAAAATATATAGAAAAAATTCTTAAAACTCAAAAAGAAAACAAACTCTATTTTAAAAATAAATGTAAGAATTTTTAACATAGTTTTCACCAAACAAATGCATATGGCAAATACTGAAAGAGTGATCCCTCATTTGTGGGAAATGCAAACCCAAACAGTGAGACCCCACTACGCATACCTTTTAGGAAGAGTGCAGAACTCTGGGGACACAGTATCCTGATGAGGATGTGGAGATGTTCACCGACAGTGTTGAGGAAAGGGAACAAGACCTAAGAATTCATGGTTCTGTTTTACATAAAGCTCAAGACCAGCACAGTGGAATTTGTCAGCAGACAGCAAACTTCAAAGACAAAGAAATGATGCCTCAAATGTCAAAATAAGTTACTTCTAGAACTGTGGTGTGACTGAGAAGGGACACTCCTGGCCTGGTGGGATGCTCTTCTTGCCACTTTGCTAAGTGTCACCCAGATGGCAGCATATCTCAGGTATGAACATACTACAGCAGGACTTTAACTGACCATCTCATCCTCTGTATTACTGACCTCCACCATTTGGAGATAAGACCAAAGAATTATGAGCTCGCTGTAAGGACCAGAGTTTTAATAATAGTAATAGCCTGAATATACCCCCAATTCCTATGTTGGAAATTTAATGCCCAGTGGACCAGTATTGGGAGTTAAGGACCAACACTGTTGTTTAGGTCACCAAAGCAGAGCCAGTACTTACTTTTCCAACACGTGCTGTCTCTTACCAAGTTTTAAAGACGTGCTGTCCTTGAGTTGATTTCATGACTGTTACGGACTGGATTAATGCCATTATACAAGTGTTCATAGGCATTCTTCTGTCATGGGAGGATGAGTGAGGCGCCATTTGGAAAGAGACTGGACCTGCTTGAGCCTCAGTCTTAGACTTCCTTTCCAGACTGTGAGGCAATTGATTTCTATGGTCTCAGGTGTGACAGCAGCACAAAACGCAATTAATGGTCAGTGGTGAAAATGGTATGTATGTTTACTAAACCTCTCTGAGCCTGTTTTTGTCATTTAGAAAATGGGTGTGTTGTTTACTCTCACAAGAAAGAAGTGAGTTGTCTATAATGTGGATAAGGCAGCAGCAGACCCATAAGTAGTTAACTACCTGGGAGCATGTAAATTGAAGACCATTTCTCTTGGTGCCACATTTATTCTTATTCAACTGTTGTACTAGTTAGGGTTCAGTTGTTCATTGGCTAGTACAGCAGAAAAGGATTTATCTAAATTTTAATAACTCCAGAAATCATCCAAACACATGCTCACATACACATGTATTTCGGTCTTTATTTTCTCTTCTGACGTGTTGCCCTCCAGTTGTTTAAAATGCTGGCTGGGTTCCAGTGAGCCAGCGTATGACTAACAGATACCCAGAAGGACAGGCACAGTGCAGGGTATAGAATAATTTAGGACAGGAGATGCGCTGCGGCAGCCAGCTGCTCAGGAGCACCGCACTGGTGTGACCCTCACCTCAGTTGCCGCCTGGGAAGTCTCACTGTGCATCTGATGGACAAAGCCTAAAAGACAGCAACAACTGGTGCAAAAGAGTATGGGAAATAAGGCGAAGGAAAGTGGAGTGACAAAGCAAGCTAATCCAAGAACTGCCCATTTCTGCAGCACAATGGTACTGATACGTATTTATTCAAGCTATGTGCTTGGGACAGAAAGACCCAAGGCTCCAGTATATAAACATCAATACATTAATTTTATTCCTATTAAACTGCCTATTTTCTTGGACATGACCTAACAAGGCTACTTCAGTGAGAGAAACTCAGATAAACATACCTTGTACAATATGCCTTTTGAGACGAAATTCTGACCAACAAATCTAGTGGAAACTGCGTTACAATTCCTTCTACAAACAGCACTACTCCAGTAACTCAAGGTGTACCAAAACATTATGGGGAAAAACGGTAAATGACCAGAATGCCCTTATCCTCGCATAATCTTAATATTAAAAAATACCTCAGCAAAAATCCCACAAGGAATAACTATCTCTTCTGTTGATACTTCTTTAGTTCAGTGTATGTCATTTCTATCTGTAAAAGAATTCAAGTGTACTAAATTTATGATTTATGAAGGCAACACGTTGAAAGAATGTTTACTGAGATATAGTTATTTAAAAATCTGTAACTGATATACACTTGACTTTTAAGTTTGTATTAGGTGACCACAAATCAGATTTACATACAACTTTCAACTGCAGATAACACAAGAAAGTCTCAAAGCAATACTAACAGATATTTTCCTTTACCATAGCAAATTAAAAATTTTAAGCTTACAGATATACAAAACATTTTAGACAGAAAGTATATTTTTAAGAAAAAAGGCATTTTCTCATTTTTAGCCTAAATTTTAATTAATTCTTCCCAGTGGACCCAAAGCCTCCGGAACCCCTCTCGGTATTGTCCAATCCTTGAACTTCTTCTATTTCTGGGTAATAAATCCGTTCACAAATGAGCTGCGCAATTCGATCACCTTTTTTTACTTCAAATTTCTCTTTGCCAAAATTAAACAGGACAACGCCAACATTTCCTCTATAATCTTCATCTATGACTCCAGCTCCAACATCTATGAAGTGTTTGGCAGCCAAGCCAGAACGCGGAGCTACTCTTCCATAGCATCCAGAGGGAAGAGCGATCTGAATGTCCGTTTTCACAAGAGCTTTTTCACTGAAAGACAGAAAGATTATACGACACAGTTAGCCTTAGTCAGTTCTTCCTCCCAGCTCCTAATGTAAAGATGTTTGCTTCTGCTGTATCATCTCATTTTAGAAAGAAAGATTACAGCCAGGTGTGGTGGTGCCTGCCTGTAATCCCAGCACTGGGGAGGCCGAGGCAGAACTGCGTGAAGTTCAAGGTCAGCCTGAACTACATAGCAACAAGAACAAACAAACAAACCAAGATTACCAAAGAAAATTTACAAAGGACCCATATATTAGTTACAAACACCTTAGGAGATCCTAGTTATATTTTTTTCTTCGCTTATAGGTATCACCCTTCTGTACTCAGCTTATGACACTTACTTGAACTTCTTCTATTTCTGGGTAATAAATCCGTTCACAAATGAGCTGCGCAATTCGATCACCTTTTTTTACTTCAAAGAAAAAAAATAAAAAGCAAAAGTTTTATCTCGCCTTATTCAAAAGTTAGTGCTGACAATAAGCAACTCAGAAAATTCGCTAGACTTATGTGAATATTTGTCTAACATACCTTCAAATTTCTCTTTGCCAAAATTAAACAGGACAACGCCAACATTTCCTCTATAATCTTCATCTATGACTCCAGCTGAAGAAAAGAAAAGTATCTTGATTTCTGCTATGAGAACATTTTGAGTGCAATATTATTTCAAACTTTTTTTGTATCGCTCTACAGACTATCCTTGCAACTGATTATGTGACTCTTGCTCAGACAAAAAAGATGTTACTAAAATGCAAATCATCTAAAAAAAGAGGCTCTAATTTTCCACCCTGGCACCGTTAACAATGGTGAGCACTTCCTACTTTAAGCTGAGCACAGCAATTATAACCTCTAACCTACATACAATGTGCCAAGATCAGGAGAAAATTATGACTGGCTTCAGAGGCTTCTTCTGGTAGCAGCTTCTTGCTAATATTCAGGTTGAAATACAAATGAGTCATAAATAAAACATCAAAACATGGAAAGATCAGCAGTAGAATAAATCAGTGCTGATACCGTCAAGCAGCAATCTTGCAAGTTATCAGTTATTCCATTTTTATAGTAAAAACGGGACTCCTATTCTTCTTTTAAAGTGAACCACAATCCCTTGCATTATAATCTGAGAATGTGCGCGCTCACAAGAGTGCACTTCTCTACGTGCAGTCAGCACCCGTCTGCGATGCTCAACACAGAAGCGGCAGAACTGCAGGACACTGGAGCCCCTCCCTGCCACAGGCCAGAGTCACACTGGCCACACTTGCTAGGGTTCACCTCCGGGCCAAAAACTCACGCTTCCACACACACAAGTATGAGTGATACAGGTCGACCACGCCTGCTCACGTCTTTTTAAACGTTAAGATCCAATTAACATAAAGAAGTTTAAAGCGTCTTCAGAGACGTGTGGCCCGTCCACTTATGACATTATGACCCTGGAAAGAAATCCTCTACCTAGCAGCAGTCAGGCTTCGCTTCGCCCAACTAAGCCACTCCCCTCGGTCTGCAGAGGCCGGTCAGGACCCGAGGGGACACACACTCGCTCCACTTCACCTCTGACCACGCTTTAAGTGACACTCGGTGCCCCAAACAAAACAACACAGCCTTCAGAGGGGAGGAAATAGAAACAGACACAAATTTATCTGCTTGGCCATACTCTTAATTACAGGGAGATCAAATGAAGGGAAAAAATTTTTTCCTTTAGAACCAAGGTCATTCCAGCTAAGGCCCTCCCCATTTTTTCTTGTAGGAAAAAAGGGCCAAGTCTTAGTTTCATCACGGGGGAAAAATGCTCAGAAAACCAACATTTCACGTTTCCCCAGAGGATCAGAAAATTTTAAATGAACTCTTGTGCTTTTTGAGAGAATTACAGGGACAAGTGAAACTGAGCCTCAGCACCAAGAGGTCCCTGATGCTACCCTATAGAACTGAACTAACGGAGAAGTGCGTTTTAACAGTGAGGGGCTGAGTAAAGACAGGCCGATTTCAGGCTGCCCCACTGCCTGCTTAGCCCGGGCAGCACTTAAGCAGCCCAAAAGACGACAGAGGCAGTTCATCTCTTATTTAGACCGGAGGAAGTCTATTCTTTACAAGGGATACAGCAATAAAATCAACCAAGGCAAAGATTAAACCCCGGTTTCTTTCCACACTGCCAGCCAACCATTAATTTAGTCTTTACTGCTTAGGAAATCAATGATATAAAGAGCAGGGCCAGTGTTTCCCGTCATCTATGTGCAGGAATGACTTAGCCGTGTGCAGCATGTTGGGACAGACGACCACAGAAGGCCGGGACGCCTCATGCTGGGAGCCTCCGAGGTTCAGGCCAACAGTGCATCCATCCCAAAGGCTGAAGACATCGGGACCAACCAACATATGACACTTTCGTGCCCACTTTCATACAGATTGTTGCCTTACCATCCCTGAGGCATCTAACATCACTAGCTACTCATATATGTAACCGCAAGCTGACTACTTTCACATATTTGCTATAATAAAAAGGCAGCCCGACATACTAGTGATTTTTAATCTCTCAAACAGATCCCCAAAACCACTTCCCTGCGTCAAAGTGGGTACATTTTCTACTTTAAAGGTTATTGCTGGGTAACTGCAGCCCTTCAAGCATCCATCTGCAGTGTCTGAGAGCACCCTCTCCAAAATCCTTGCCAGCACCAGCGGGCAGCAGGCCCCATGTGGCACCTCATTGCGTTTCTATGCATTTCCCCGAGGAGCAGTGAGGCTGGGCATCCCCTTCCATATTGTGTTAGACATTTATATGCTTTTTTATATTCTGTTTATGATTTTTGAAAAGTTTTTTCATAAGATGCAATTTTAAAAAATTTATATTTTCTGTCATGCAAAAATACTGTTTTTGTAAAGACCTTTAATGTGTATCTATAAAGGAATCCTGTCAGAAGTACTCAAATGGGTGGGTTTCTTGAATTCTACAGGACAAGATGACCTATTAAAATTTTACATTTGGACACAAAAATGCAAAAAGCCTTTAATTGTTTGAAGTCAATGAAAATGTATGACCATAAAGAAGGCCTTCAATAAAAATTTTCGACCATGAATGTCAATGATATACAAAATTCAATAGTTCTAAGTTGAATTATTCCTCAATTGCCATCTGACTGTCAAGAAAAACCCCAAATTTACTTTCTCAAGAAAAGGATGAAGAACCAGGGCTATTTCTCTTCAGGAGAAAAGTATCTTGAAAGTTCACGGGCACTGGCAGAGTGACTGACTGGCTTCACGCAGGCAGACCTGGGCGTGTCGCTTGCTGAGACCGGTTCCGGGAAGCCCACCACACTGCCGGAGGTGAGTTCTGAGCGAGCCCTGCATGCCCAGCTCTTCCTGCCCGGGAACCTGACAATCTCTCTCTTCAGAAATGCAAACTGCTGCAGCCCATGATAACATGCGCCCAATTTTTTAAAAGATACTCTGCTTCTGAGAACACACCACAGTGTGCCTTTATGTATAACACACCTCACCAACTGCCAGGCAAATGGACTTTCCAATTACATGGACTTTTCCCTCCCAGAGGGTTGTTTTAAAGAGGAAAAGTTAGTAATAAAGTTTTTTTAGAGTTTCCACATAAAAGAAAATAAGTTTCCTGAGTCCCTAAGAGACAGAAATGATGAGTTACAGAGCTTACTTCAGCTACAGAGTTTCAGGCAAGATATCCACTGTCATTTAAGCCTCTAGTCCTCACCTCTGCTTCAGGTGAGAAACCCAAGGCTGATTTCCTTAGAAATATATACAACTTTCCAAATGGTTAGACTCTAAGTGTATGCCAAAATGACCCTTTTTGACCTGGGACAAATACGTGTGAAAATCAGAACCTACTGAACCCAGGGAATCCTTACCCTCTAGTCTAGACATCAATGTAACCCTTCTGTCTGGCTGCACAGCAGGCACCATGGGAGATACTAGGCAAGTTGGGTGGGCAGGGCTGCCTGGGTGCTTGCTGTGTGCTGTTCCCTCTCAGCAGTGCATAGGACCGCAGGCTGGGCTGATTCGGGACAATGCTGGGATGGAGAGGCGATGAGGCAGGGAAATCTCTGGCATTTAACTGCAGAGCAAGGAACAAGGTGCTGCAATCACATGGACAGGTGCTCCAGTTTTAACGTCTATCAGCTGGGTGAATCTGAGCCCTTGTCACCATCACTGGGAAGCTTGTACAGAGTGGCTCTGCAAGAGTGGGCAGAGGAGAGGAGAAACTGGCCCCTGGGTGAGAACATCCCCACGCTGAGGAGACGCAGAGCTGGGAGCAGAGAGGATGCTGTGCTCCTCCCTCACCTTGTGAGGGATGCAGGTGACATCAAGGACTTCCTAGAAGATAATCTTGGGTCAGATGCAGTGTCCCTCCCTCTGCAGGGGATGTAGGTGGCCTCTCCTGTGCAGGTGCGCGAACTCTTGCCAGTCTGTTTCTAGAACCTTTAGTGTCAATCATTATACCAATTGCAGTCGTTCACACTGATCACAACAAGCTTTTCCTCTGATGCATCATGTCTGGACTAACTGCACAGGCGGAAATCCTGACTACTGGACACTTCTGGGTTAGCTCATCAGCAAACTAACATGCATTCTATACAGGTCATCTCAAAGTCACACTGTCACAGTATGTGCAACTGGATCGCACCTGTCACTTCTCATATGAGCATTTCTGAAGAGGAAAGACACGCAAAGACTCAATACCTTTTCTTGAAAATAAAAATGCAACCTGTCACTGGACTAATGTACTACCTTTTACACACAGACAATACAGACTTACAGAATTAAAAAGTAAATGTATTACCTCCAACATCTATGAAGTGTTTGGCAGCCAAGCCAGAACGCGGAGCTAAAAAACAGAAAGGGAGACACAGGCTACGTAAGTGGGGAAAAGCAGTACCAGACATGGAGTAACTGATGAAATGTAAACCTACTTCCTCTATGAATGACTTTATCTTGATTTAGCTGATAGTTCTGAATTTAAAGTAGAGTCATCATACTGCCTTAGCAAAGTTAGAAAAACTAGAAAAATTCAGCGGGGTTTTGATTTTAAAGCCAAGCCACACCACACCACTCCTGGAGGGCTTGTGGCAGGAGAAGGAGCACATGTGGGTGGAACAGAGGCAGCAGGTGGGGAATGGCTGCCTGTGTAGGGGCCCTGCTGCAACCTGGAAGAAAGGGCTGAGCTGCCAGGGATGCAGGACTCAGGGAGAGAAGGAGACAGACAGAAAGGGAGAGGGAAAGAGAAATAAAGCAGCTCTGTCCTAGAACCTGGGACTCTTGGTCATGATTCAAAAGATAACTTACATGAGCCAGGAATCTGAGTAAAGTGCATAATTCCTGTCAAGTCATGCCAAAAACTAAGCCTCGAAAATTCAATTCTTGTGGGTCTCTTTCTAAAAGCAAATCAAAAGCCAAGTTTATCCTTCATATTTGCTAACTCACACTGGGCCCACCACGAGTCATCCAAACTTTTAGTGTTTTCAGATTCATCTAAATTGGGCACTCTGTCATAAGTGCTACACCCTCTCAGTTTGGTCTTTCCATCACTCCACCTCTAAAAGCAGAGTCCGTGATGCCAAGAAGAGCCCAGAAGAGACAGCCCATATTGTTCCTCCTTCGCAGGCTGAGGTGCCAGCAGCTTCTCACGGCTACCAAGACAGGGGCTGTCTAGATCTCTGCACAGTGGGGCTCACAGTCCCATTTGTCTCTCTGGTGACAAATGACTCAGAAAAAGGAAGCTGCTGACTCGCCGTCCATCTTGTCCCAGCTCCTCTGGACATGCAGCACTCCCTCTCTAGATCAGGTGGTGTCCCTAACCATACCCATGGGATGGCACCAAAACCAGACACGGCTCAGCGGGCTGCCGGACTCTGGGGATTTTACTCTTAAACTGCCACGGGCCCCATTCTAAGCCCCTATTTTCTTACACAGCACACATCAGCCACTCTTCTCAGCCTTCACAAAAAGAAGCTGGCCTCATTCACCATCTAGTCCTCGAAGGCCGAGCTGCAGGACTGTTAGAAAGACACCCCAATTAAAAGTCACATAAACTTTCAGCTTCACTGCGAAGAGTTGTGAGAACAGCCTCTCGGGCCAACATGAGCCTCTTAAAAATTTAAAAGCAAGAAATCAGAAATAAAGGCAAAAAGAGTGGCAAAAGCAGAAAATAAAATGTTTCAAATGGCTGCATCTGCCACAGTAGATGGTGATTTTTCTTTTTCTTTGGTACCGGGGATTGAACTCGGGTCCTTGCGCTTGCAAGGCAGGCCACCGAACCGCTGAGCTAAATCCCCGGCCCTAGATGGTGATTCTTTATTCTGGGACACAGCCCAGGAAGTATGCAAACGTCACTCTGATGACAGAATGACCAAGAGTTCCATGTTTAAGTCACTCACCTACTCTTCCATAGCATCCAGAGGGAAGAGCGATCTGAATGTCCGTTTTCACAAGAGCTTTTTCCATAGGCGGTACCGTATAATCATAGGCACTAAGAAGACGGTGAAAGGAAGCAGTCGGTATTTATTTAAAAAGTTGTTACTTTTCTTTGTGACAATGCATATGAAACTCCTTTAAATATACTTCATAAAATCCACACAATCTTAGTGTTTATGACCAATCTTATGATGAACTTCCAGTTCATCTAAAAGTTGTTTATGAAGGTCCGAGAAGATATTTCTTTTTATTGTCAAAATTACAACCTTAGGTAAAATATTCTCAAGTTTTTGGTGGAGGGAAGGATGTCAATGTCATAACTGAGCATTAACTGTGAGGAAACTGAGGTACCTATTTGCACAAGGGAGCAGAAAAGCAGATTTTAAGAGATGCAGACACCACCGACATGATGTGAAAAAGTGTTCCATCTGCTCTGCTTCGCAAAACTGTGGCCACGAACTTCAGAGGCTGAGGGAGTTAATCACAGCCCCAGGGAAGGAGATGGCCACTTCTGCAGAAAAAGATTTTCCCAAGTCTGACCAGCAAGTGCTGCTAAGGGCGCTACTACTGGAGGCTGCTTCTTGAGAGAAATTTAAGAAAATTTACAAACAAAACTGAAAGTTACCTTAGGGCCCTAAGGAAGTCTGATAAAACAGTGCTATAAGCCCATTTCTCTCCTAGGTGTTTCCTCTCTTTAAACAGATCAACCCTAATTTATTCAAAACATCCGTGCTGGGTGTGGTTGCACACACCTGTAATCCCTGCACTCAGGAGGCTGGGACAGGAGGATCACAGCGAGTTCAAGGCCGGCCTGAGCTACATACTGTGTTTGAGGCCAGCCTGAACTACATAGACAGACCGTGTCTCAAAAACCAAACCAAACCAAACCAAAAACACAGGACACCAGTGACTTCCTTGGCAAGTTCAGAACAAAGTCACCTCTGTGAGGAGGATGCCTGGAATACCTTCAGTCACAATCTCCCCTAAGACTCACTACGCCCAGCTTTGAAAGGGTCTAGTCAAACTATATCACCATTCTCTTATTCTCCAAAAGTAAGGGACTCTATTACATCCCTTTTAGCTGCAACAGTCTATACCTCACTTCTTCCTAACCATCTTTACGCCCTCGCTGCTCCTTACCTAAGACTTAGATCAGCTGTACTCATATTCCAGGGACCTGGGCGGCCTTAAATCCTCCCGCTTGGGATTTGGCCCTATAATCAACACCTGCTCCCTGCCAGCGCCACTTTTCACTAGCTGAACGGTTCTAAGAACAGGGCGCAGTAGTCTAGTGAAAAACGCATTAAATTCAGGGTAAAAACACTTCATTGCCTTCAAGCCCATGCACAAATCGATCTCTTTACAGACTTCCCTGCTCGACTTCGGGACTGCGCACAGGTTGAGGGCAGTTTTTAGCGCGGGTTAACGGTGTCGTGCAAGGGGGAGCAGCTTCTCTCCCTCCCGAGCGCCCATCGCCCCGACCCGGTCGCCCCGGAAGGCCAGGACGGGCCCGCCCGGACACCGCAGCGAG